AGGACAAATATGTGATGCCTTAATCAATAAACAAATTTAAAAAAGAGAGAGAGAAGAGAGAAAGCCTGTAATCTTGATATGTGAGGGACCTTGATATGTGAGTGTTTCCCAGTGTTGGTTGGTGGGCATTCTCCTCCCTCATTCTTGCCTGTCAGATCTTAGGAAGAGCAGTGTCTTGCATTTAAGTTGAGTCCGACCACGTGAATCTTGTTGAAGAATCTCTGCCATCCTGGGTGCATAAATGATTTTGTGCATCGAAGCTCCCACCTCCTTGCTGCCCACTAGGCTTTATATGAGAAGGAAATACGGTATGAGTTCCTGAGATTTAGGGGTTTATGTGTTACTGTAACTAATAGCATTGCCTTAACTAATATACACAAGGACTCATGGTGCAAAGATTTCTAACTGCAGGTTATGTTTTGTCCCCCAAAATGTAACTTTTTGTTTCTTGGTTTGTTAATCCTCACCCGAGGATACTTTTTCCATTGATTTTTAGAGAGAGTAGAAGGGATGGGGGGAGACACACAGAGAAAAACTTCGGTTGTAAAAGAGACACATCGATTAGTTGCCTCCCACAGGTACTCTGACCAGGGCCAGGATCGAGCCTGCCACCCAGGTGCGTACCCTTGACCGGAATCAAACCCAGGACCCTTACGTCTGCAGGCCAACTCTACCCACTGAGCAAAACCGGGTGAGCCCCCAAAACATCACTTTGACAATAAAAGTTTAATACAACGTATATTGTTTAGCTGGAGATTACTAATCATGTTTCTCAGCTCTAGTCTCAGAAAGAAAAGCAATTCTCTTCTGAGGCTTTTCCATCAAAAAGCCTGCCACATCGATAGTCTAGACCCATGGTCAGTAAACTGATGCTCATGAGCCACGTGTGGCTCTTTGGCCCCTTGAGTGTGGCTCTTCCACAAAATACCAAGGCCTGGGCAAGTCTATTTTGAAGAAGTGGCGTTAGAAGATGTTTAAGTTTAAAAAAAAATTGGCTCTCAAAAGAAATTTCTATCATTGTCCTGTTGATATTTGTCTCTGTTGCCTAATGAGCTTGCCGACCACCTGTCAGGAAGCCACAAGAAAGACACAACTTTCACTTCCTGTTCTGAGAGAATGAAATCATCTGTGCACAGGAAATATCGGATGAGGATCTTGGATTTGTTCCTTCTCACAGGCTGAATTGCGTCCCCCACCCCCAAATTCATATACTGAAGTCTGTCCTAACCCCTCATCCCTCAGAATGTGACTGAATGTATTTAGGGTGTGAAGGCCTTGCAGGAGGTAGTGGAGGGAAAGTGAGATCCTATGGGTGGGCCCTAATCCACTGAGACTTGTGTTCTTCTCAGAAGAGGAGATAGGACACAGACGGGCACATAGCATTTGAATATGAAGAAAATGCCAACATGAAGATGGCCAGGTACCAGGCAAGAGGACGCAGAAAAAACCAACCCTGCCAACACCTTGATTGTGGACTTTCAGCCTCCAGAAGCGTGAGAAAATAAATCTCTACTGATAAGCCGCCCGCTCTATGGTACTTGGTTATGACAGCCCGAGCAAACTAATACAATCATGATGGCAGGGTCCAGGCCACCACGGACAGCCTGACATGGTGCCGTGCGTCATTTGGGGTTAACACAAACTACCATCAGCATGGTCTCCTTTGGTCCCCAATCCCAATTTACACAAGTCTCTGACAACTTGCCCTCTGCCCTCTTTCCTTGTCATTTCAAAGTCTCTTTCCCCCTTTTTCTATATACCAGAGAGAGAAAAGAAAAAGGATGTGAATGGAGGACAGTACTGAGAAGATGGTGCAGGGGGTCTGCCTGTTTCTTCTAATCCCAAGATAAGGTGGAAACCCTTCTGCAAGGTGAGGACACCGCTGACAGCCCTCCAGAGTGGGAAACACGGGGATGAGTCCAGAAGGGACACTGGGTTTTGCTAATGAGGAGTCCCGGGGTTTGACTATGCTGAGTCTCGGCAGTGAGCTGCCTACCGATTCATCTCTCCAGTTATTCAGCTGTTGCTATGGTAGATCCCACAGTGGTGCTCTTGCTGGGAGCATGCTCAGTGGTGGCTGGGCTGGCGGTAGCAGGGAGCAGGGGAAGGCACTTGTCTCTCTGGTGAGAGAATCAGAATAATGTAATTGGGAGACTGGTTCCTGGAGGCTTCTTGTGGGAGAGACATCCGGCAACCATTCCTCAGATGTCTCCCAGTTCTCCCAAAACCTGCCCCAGTCCAAGCTGACCTCAACTGGGGAGGATGCCCAAATGTCCCACTGAGCGCCTAAGGTAAGGGGATGATGCAATTGGGTTATTTCATTTACAAAGACCCTGGCTAAAGCAAACTTTGTTGTCTCCAGTCAGCGTAGGTGGTTCTTGTGTTAACACTGTCCTGCGATCTCAGTTCCAACATCTCACAGCATGTGGAGGTATGTGCACACATGCGCACACAGGAGAAAGAGAAAGAGAGGAAAATCCACGTATGATGGCTCTTTAGAACCATCTTTCAAGTAGCTGAGCCAGGATGAAAATGGAAAATCTAGAAGCTTGGTCTTCTAGACTGTTCCTTTACATATGTTCTAGATCACCAGTTTATTATAAAAGGATACAGCTCAGGAACAGCCGGACGGAAGAAAGGCACTTGGGGCAGCAAGGTGTGGGGAAAGGACGTGGAGCTATCATGCTCTCTCCTGGTGCCATTCCCCCCACTTCCAGCCCCCAACCCCGCCTTCCACCACTCCCTTCGTAAGCCATGTCAGCTACTGAATTTGAGATGAGCCCAGCATGAAGAAATATCCTCCTTTTCTTCTTCATCTTTTTTTTTTTTTAATCAGTCTGGGCATTGGTGTCCCTGGATTTATTCAGGAAATCTCACTTCCTTTCCTATCTTGCCTAGGGAAAGCCATTTCCTTCGAAGTGACGTTTCTTTCTTAGACTAAGAACTCACCTCCGTTGGCAACTTCTTTCCTGCTTTCCCCAGACAGAGGCAAGCAGAGAAGCCACTGATGGTCCCAGGACGAGGCCCGTGGAGAGCATTGACAGGGACAGGGCCGATCATGGGAAGGCCTTTGCGGACCCAGGCGAGGTCAAGTTGAGTTGAACCTGCACTTGGTACTGTGTCTGGGCCTGTGGAGGAAAGTCACAGCAGGACAGGCCTGAGTCTAGAAAGCATCCCTGACCAGCTGGGGGAATGTATTCACCACCCACATGTGCACAGGGAAAACATTACAGGGTGTGTTTCCCTCTCGGCATTTCTTGAGTACTGTGTCAAGTACTCTGCTAAGTCCCTTCCACAAATTATTTTATTATCTTTCCAACAATCCTCTCTGACAGATGAGGAAACTGAGGCACAAAGGTTCAGGAACATGCTCAAGGTTGCATAACTGGTAAATGGAAGAGTTTGGGCAAAACCCGAGGATGAACAGCAGAGCCCTCTGCGTGCACGGAGCCCAGAGAAGAGAAACACACCCGGAAATCGTACTGGGACCCACAGGATCGGTTTCCTTAGATTTTAATGTAATCAACATAGCTTTCAAATTCAAGACTTTTTGTCTCCCATTTTATTATTAATTTTGGCACCTTGCCTAAACTAGAACTCTTCAAGTAAATGCACTCAGTGCTTTGCATGACCTACTCCTGAAAAACACATTCTCCGTCCAACACTCAGCCTGAAAAGTCACACACACACTTTTTCATCACTTTTTTAAAGATCGAATGGGCCAGACTCCCCTAACACTCATTCTTAGGAATAGGCAATTTTCTAGGCTCCAGAGAACATTTATTTGCCTCCTTCCAGTGCTAACATATTCAGCGGCAGTAAATTAGATCTTGAAAGAGGCCCATTCATCCCTCGGCGCCATTATGTACACTAGCAGAAACACTTAGTGGCTCGAAATAATGCATTGGCATCCCGAACGCCTACCCTGAGCAGCTTAGACCCAAAACAGAGAACTTTTGCCTGCACGACGTTTCCAGAGACTTTGCATTTGGGAACGTTTTTTATGGTCATCGATCTTTTCAATCTGGTAAAGGAGGTCAGCCATGCCCCCTGTGTAAAGGACACCTGGGATGGGGGAGGACAGTGGAGGGCGGGCGCAGTCACACGGGGTGATGGGAGAGCCGGATGGCAGCCAGGGAGAATTCTAGCAGCACTCTCCAGTGTTCTGGAGATGCCAGCTCCAAGTGTTTCAATGCAATGCAGACCCTGGGCCTTCCGACTGGGATGAGCCTAGGTGAGGCCCAACCACTGGGCTCCTTCACCCCCACCTCCCCACCCCAGCCTCACTAACCCCTCAACACCACCCCCCTACACACACACACACACACACACACACACACACACACACACTACCACCACCACCACCACCACCACCACCACCACCACCACCACCAACCACCAGGCTTCTGCTGGGGCGGGAAGCTGGGGGTGGGCGGAAGGCAGAGTTGGCAGGTTGGCAGGACCAGGTTCGAGGGTTCGAGGAAGGATGTAATTTTTTCGGGGGAAAAAGATGAGACCTAAAAGCCGTTTGGGAGAGGTGGGCTGCATGGGAGCTCCCTCCAACTCACCCCTGCAGAATGTCCGCAGAAAAACAAAAATGTTTCCCCTGGAGTCTAGTTCCCCGGCACAAAGGGGGTGGGGGTGGAGGTGGGGGTGAGGGTGAGGGTGGGAGGTGGATGGAGGTGGTCCCCTCCCGGGCCCGCGCACCCCGCGGGAGGGGAGCGCGCGCCGGCCTCGCCCCCGCTGCGGGGTCGCCGCTCCCCGCGCGCCCTCCGCGCGCTCCCCGCCCCGCGCAGGGGAAGGGGCGGGCGGGGGCCTCGCTCCCTCCTCCCCCCGCGCTCCCGGCGGCGCTTCCCGGCACCCGCTGGCGGGGCTGGCGGGGCCGCCCTCTCCCTCCCCGCCCGCCCGCCCGCGGCGTCCCCGGCAGCGCGCGCCGCGATGGCAGCGGCCGAGCGGGGCTGAGCCCGCCGCGCGCCGCAGCCCGGCGCCGCGCCCCCGCCATGGCGAAGCAGTACGACGTGCTGTTCCGGCTGCTGCTGATCGGGGACTCCGGGGTGGGCAAGACCTGCCTGCTGTGCCGCTTCACCGACAACGAGTTCCACTCCTCGCACATCTCCACCATCGGTAAGGGGCGGCGGCCCGGGCGCCCCACCTCCCCGCCGCCACCTGCCCGGCGCCCCTGCCCTGGCAGCCGGGCCCGGAGGGAAGGGACGGGGATCTGAGAGGCCAGGGGAGGGCATACATCCCCGGGTGCGGGCCGCCGGCGGGGGTCGTGAGCCTCGGCTCCTGGAGGCGAGCGAGGGGTCCTCCCTGCTGCTGCCCGTGACTAGCGATGGGATCCGCGGGGTTGGGAGAACCGGGCGGGTGTAGGCCTGGGTGCCCTGAGCTGGGGCGGCGGGGACCTCAGCCACTGAGATGACGCCCCCACACCCAGCCGGTTGAAGGAGGGTTAAAGCCTTTGCTCAGAAGAGGGGTTCACGGTGGGGAGCCAAGTCACTGAGTTCAGGGGGACCCACTGTGGAGCCTGGAGAGGAAGAAAGGAGGAGGGAGGGGCCCAGGAACTGAGTGTCCAGGGCACCGCTGTGGGACCAGGTGAGCCGCCAGGTGGGGCACAGAGGAGGGCTCGGAGGAGATGGGAAAGGGGCCCCTTAGAGCCAGCTCTGGAGCAGCAGCGGCTGCACTGAAGGAGGCTGAGGAACGCCAGGACTACCTGTTTGGACAGAGGGTCAGAGGCAGGCAGGACCCCCTTGGAACATGTCTCTGATCGGGCAATGCTGGCGCCTGGGCTTTGAGGGACGGGCTGGTGGCATCGCAGACAGGACAGGGATGAGATCACTTGTCTGGCAGGGCATGGTGCCTCCCCGCTGAGGGGGCTTCTGGGGAGGGGTGAGCTGAGGGACTTACACCCCGTCTAACAGGCTCCCTGGCCGATGCCTGGAGTAGCCTCAACGCTGCCAGGTGCCCTCCCCGCCAGGTCAGGTCAGGCAGGGCCCTAGCACTTGAAGCTTCCGCCCTCCCTCCCAACACACACTTCTTGCCAAGAAAGGAGAGGGAGCCCGCGGAGTCCCGAGGAACAGGGCCTGTGGTTGAGACAGTCTTTGTTGTCAGACAGACCTGGAGACTGCACTTTGGGGCCACATGACCTTGAATATCACCTAAGCTTCTGACCTTCAGTTTTCCCTCTGTAGAATGGGAATAATAACAGTACCTACCTACCAAAGAGTTGGGAGGAATAAACGAGACAGTGCTTGTAAAAGCACTTGGCACGAGCTCACACACATGGGAAATTGGGTAATGTTACCATCACTGAGCTCCTAGGCCAGTGGTCGGCAAACTCATTAGTCAACAGAGCCAAATATCAACAGTGCACCGATTGGAATTTCTTTTTTGAGAGCCATTTTTTTTTTAAACTTAAACTTCTAACGCCACTTCTTCAAAACAGACTCGCCGAGGCCGTGGTATTTTGTGGAAGAGCCACACTCAAGGTTGCCAAAGAGCCGCGTGGGGCTCACGAGCCGCAGTTTGCCGACCACGGTCCTAGGGGCTCATTCTCTCTTTGCTTCAAGGGACTTGGTTTTCATTTTCCCCGGAGAAGCTGTAAGGCAGGCTCCTAGGAGGTCCAGGTGCTTGGAGGAGAGACCTCTCAGAGGGATGGGAAGGCGCAGAGGCCAGGAGGCTGCCTGCCTCGGGGGAAGCTCTGAGGAAGGAGGAGGCGGGAGAGGAAGGCCTGGGAGTGAGCAAGGGAGTGTGGCTGAGGAGCCAGGTGGGACACGAGGGCAGGTGCGGGTGTGGGGACAAAGGGCAGCAGGGTGGTGCTTCAAGAAGCTGGCAGTGGTTATGTTGGGGATGGGCCTGATGCCAGGAGCTGCTGAGCCATCGCAGAGGGCGGTGGGCTGTCTGGGAACCGTGGCTCTTGCGTACAAAGCAGTAGTCTGCATTCTGGCATCCTGACCACGTTTCATGTTCTAGGAGTGGCCAAAGGTTTTCCCTGGAGAGCCTGACTCGCCCACCTCACCTCAGGAGCTTTCCGGCTCCTGCTCGGTCAGTGTTGTGGACCCCCCCTAGGGAACGGTCCCCTCACCCCACAGACAAATGAAGGACTGATGTTTCTGAAATACCATGTGGGCCCTTCTGATGCTTGTGAAAAACTGTCCTTAACTCATTGCTGCCCCGTAGTTTTATTGTTAGCTTACCAGGGGCCAGATAAGTTTCTACTGAACGAGTACAAAAACATTTTACCTAAATGTTAAAGGCACGCTTTAAAATTAAATACCCTTTGCATTTTGAAGTTATTTATTACATGTTCTTATAAGCTAATATCTTCTTAGAGTGTGGGCCTTTGTAAAACACTGTGTGATAGGAAGCGAGAATTCTCGTGATCTGCCCACGATGTGTTGAGTCCCTGTCCCCCCACATCGCTGATCACCAGCCCTTCTCCTTCATGTCTCTTTTGCCTGGTCTTATCCCATCCTTGACATTCCTTCCAGCTGGACAGGTAATTGGGCAGTTTCTCCTCACAGGTGGCAGGACTGCCTCAGAATCCCTCTGGGGCCGCCACTGTGTGGGCAAAGGTGAACCAGTGAACTGGAGGTGGACATGTCCCCACAGCACCCTAGCCCTCCTGTCCCCACAGGCTCTTGGTATATTGACCTAAAACCTGGAGGCAGCGCTCCTCATTTTTTCTCTGCTTCATTTTTTAAAAATATATTTTTACTGATTTCAGAGAGGAAGGGAGAGAGAAAGAGAGAAATATCAATGATGAGGGACAGAGGGAATCATTGATCGGCTGCCTCCTGCATACTCCCTACTGGAGATCCAGTGCACAATCTGGGCATGTGCCCTTGACCAGAATGGAACTCGGGAGCCTTCAGTCTGCAGGCCAATGCTCTATCCACCGGCTAGGGCGATTTTTCTATGCTTTTGCTGGCTGGGCCCACCGTGTCCCAGAATGCAGAGGACTATTTAGGATTTTACATTCTGTGGAAGAGAAGCTCTCAGCCCATGTCTTTATTCACATCAGCCTTTTAAAATCTGCCCACAGGGTCTCTTAAATGCATTCTTATTGGAAGCTTCTTCTGCCTCATCTCGGGTGTGTTTTTCAGCATTAATGAAGACTTGGGGAAGGAGTGGGATGGTCAGAAAAAGCGTTCCCCTTGTCCAGATATAGCAAGCTTTCCATAGAGATGGAAGGGGCACTCAGGGAACTAGTCAAAGAGCCAAGAAAACGAGCACTACCGAGTCATATTCATGCGTTTATCCAGTCAAAACTGTACCTGTGTCCTGTCAGTAGGCTCGGTGCTGAGACCTGGAGATTCCAACACACATAATACACGGAGTCACCTCTCTCCAGCTGCTCCTGGTCTAAGGCACATGCTGTTCCCTCGCTGGGCATGGGTCGAGGTGCCTTTCCTGGGGCTTCTTTTGTGAATGGGGAAAATGAGGCAGCCCACCACGTGGTGCTAAGACAGAGTTCGGACCGTCCTGATGTCACGTAAGCTGGCACTTTAGTGATTTACTGTTTCTGCCACATCCTGTAAGAGCCTGTGACAGTGCAGAGACCAGCCTGCCGGGGAGCAGTGAGGAGACCTCCCATGGAGGCTCTGGCCATCCTCTTCTTACCGGTCAGCTGGTGGGCAGTGGCCCTGCCGCTGGACCTGTGTCACTGACACGCCTTTCCCGTGCAGCTGTGCTGACCCAGATGCCGTGCAAAGAGGGGCAGCTGCTGCCGTAAGGCTCTCTGCTCTTCCCTAACAAGACTGTCTGATCTGTAAATTAATTGAGCATTCACTGCAGAACACGGTGACAGCCACTTAGAGTCGTGTTACAGTCCACCTTTTCCTGCCCACCTTCCCAGAAGCCTGTAATTTAATTGGCAAGCAAGACAGGCCAAAAGAGCCTGGGCCCCCACAAGATAATACATCTGTGGGCACTTGGTGAAGCGTTCTTCCAATGTCCACGATGATCGTATCATCACTATGAATAAAGGTCTCACAGACACTATCAGCAGCCAAACCACGATGGGAGACTGTGCATGAGGCAGCCAGTGCACGGTGAGGGGACTATGAGTGCCATTGCTACAACCAAGTGCTAGGGGACGTCGGAGAAGGAGAGGGGCCCAGTGGACCAGAAACCATACGGAGGGCTCCAAGGAGGAAGGGAAGCTGAAGCTGAGGCCTCGCAATGAGGGCTGCTTTTCGGTTCCTATAGAGCAGTGGTCTCGAGAGCCGCGGTTCGCCGCTCTGTTGACTAATATGTTTGGCAACCACTGGCATAGGGCTTAATCACAAAGAACAACAACCTGTAATTATTGGAAGTGAGAGTCTAGGTCAGTGGTCAGCAAACTCATTAGTCAACAGAGCGGCAAACCACGACTCATGAGCCGCAGTTTGCCGACCACTGTCTGCTGTAGGGGAAGGAGCAGATGGTGAAACGGGAGCAGAGACGACAGAGGTGGGAATTCAGTGGGTGTTCACGGAACTCTGGGCAGTCTGGCTGGAAGAAAAGGAGATTTTTAGGGGAAGAGTGAGAATATTCCTCTTTATCTCCTTGTCTTCCAAACTTTAAAGTGCCTTCAAGGAGAGTCCAAATCTTATCCCTCTTTGTTTTCATAGTCCTAGTACAGGGCCAGCCACAATCTCAATAAATAGTGAGTGAATGAATGAATGAATGGGGGCAGAGGGCACTGAGGGTCTGGCTGAAGGGGTGGAACTCGAGCCTGCACAGCAGTGTAAGAAGATTCTGAGCAGGGGAATGACGTGGTGAGAATGGCACTTGGGGTGTTGGCTGCAAGAGGGGTTAAGACTTGCAGCAGTAGACCAGTCAGGGCTGCAATAGTGTCTGGGCACAAAGGAACCTCTCAGCTCATTCTCTCCCCCCTCTTATCCCTTTCAATGGCACCAAAACCAGACTCCACACCATCACCTGTTCTTGGTTCCCACCCTCATCCTGGCAACTCCTGAAATGGCCTCATGTGACCCGAGCTGCCAGCCCAGACAAGGAGACCATGTGCTATCCTACGTGGACAGCTGCGTGCAGGGACTTGGTTTCCATTCTGCGTGGCAGCCAGGGGTGACATATAAGCCACAAAAGCAAGCTGAAGGGATTATCCATGAGTTGATTTTCTC